AGGCGTATATGTTTCTCGCAAACGGTGACATGATCATTTGCTGCGGCGAGAATTTAGGAATATGTTTTTTACTAGTGTTTTTATATCACGGGTGGAACTCCATCGTACGTGTGTGTTTAGTGTTATATCAGGTGATATCGGCTTTACGTATTGTACCCGTCGGAGAGGCTTCGAAAGTCGCAGAGGAGTGCAGTGTCTGTTTGACCGAGTAATGCAGTCAATTTGGTGTAGTGGTATCATACTACGTTCAATACCCTGTGGTCGCGGGGTCAATTCCTTGTCACGTTGTTTAGGTTCAGTGGAACTCCATCAACGACTAGTGGTGTTGAAATTATACGGGAAACCCCATGCCAGCATTATTTCCATCACGAATGTCTGATCAACTGGGCGAAGGTATATCGGGTTCGATCGAGTCTACATACGTATGTATAATATATACGCTGTGTGTGACGGTGGTTTTCCAAGAGCCTTCGAGTTGACGAAACACCATCTGATCTCACGTAGAACGTAAGTTTAATAACAGCTTGAAGATCTATGTAAATTCAATCGTAGCAGATCAGCATACTAGCTAGATACACAGCTACATCACAATTATAAGACAACTATGGAGGACAAACTTTTGTGTCTTCAAGGGACTACAACATTCTCACTTCTCATTACATGTGTCCGCTGAATCCAGCACAGTTGCTCGAAATAAAATATGATGTTTTTGATGTAACGTGCAGCAGGATTCAACAAACGCAGAACAGTGTGGGAATATATGTTTGATTTCTACCCGAGTTCGTATATAAACTCCTATAATCAGCGATGAAACTCCTTCGAGATCAGTTGAGGAAAGCGAACATATATTCCAACGACACCGTCGTAGACAGCGAAACAGGTTCTTTGGATTCCGACTGCTGTAGGGGAATCATTTTTCTGAGTTGAATTTTGATATCGATCGATTTGATATGAAGTTTGGGGTTGCTTGCTGGTGTCGATGGAAACTTGTTGCTCTTTGGAGTTTCACAAGAGCCCGTTTTACGCGAAGTGGCGTAAAACGCGATATTCGCGGTGATATGCAGTAGTCGTAAAGTATGTTTTTCACTAGTGTTTTTCATATCACTAGGGTGAGACTCCTTTGATGAAGTAACACTCAAATTTTGAATAGAATTTCACCTTGGGGAATTTTCGTATGAATAACACTAGTGAAAAACACATTTCACTTCGCGAAAAACGCGTTTGCTGTGAGTAACGCGTAAAGAACGTGAAATGAAGCCATTTCTTTGTTCACTTCGCGTGAAACTCCATTGATATTTTTCTAGTAGGGATGGTTTCAGGTGGGGAAAATGTCATGCCCACTGTGTCGAGCCTCGCTGGACCCCGAAGACCCCGAGGAGGAGGATGAGGATGACGAAGCTGATGATAATGATGATGATGAAAACGATCGAAGAACCACAGCAACTGCAGCAGCAGCTGTTTGAGTTCATGACGTCGATTCGACACAATCACTATTGGAGTTTCACCCTAGTGATATGAAAAACTCACTTCACAACTAGTGTATAACGCGAATATTGGGGTTTTCCACAGAGTTTCACGCTACTTCACGTAAAACGGGTGAAACTTCATTGTATCAATTCTTTTGTCAGCGGAGCGAAGCTCTTTTTCTTGGTAAGATCAAATCCGACGTCTTTTCATCCATGATATTCTGTTGCTGTAACTATGAACTCTGTTACCATTGAAATAATTTCGCTTTTTTTGAGTAGAAAAAAAACGGAGTCGTTATCCTCATGGGCCTTCGTAAGCCTCCCTCTTATAATTGTTATTATTAACGATTGTTGTGTTTCAGTGCTGTTGTTGCTGTTGTTGTTGTTGTTGCTGCTGCTGCTGCCGCTGCTGTTGTTGTTGTTATTGGTGTTGTTGTTGCTCCTGCTGTTGCTGTTGTTGTCATTGTTGTTATTGTTGTTGTTATTGTTGTTATTATTGTTGTTGTTATTATTGTTGTTGTTATTGTTATTGTTATTGTTGTTGTTGTTGTTGTTGTTGTTGTTGTTGTTGTTGCTGTTGTTGTTGTTGTTGTTGCTGTTGTTGACAATTTTCGTAGTTTCATATTTCTGGTTGCCCCGGAGTGTACATGTCTGGAAGTCGACCAAGTGATTTCTCTTTCGTAAGTTCCGAAACACTAGATTGAGCGAACCAGGGTCGTCACTAATTTAACGGAGTTTCACAACCTGTTTTACGTAGAGTAGCGTAATGCTGTGTGTGAAAAACGCGACGTGTTTTTCATATCACTAGGGTCAAATTCCAATACAATGTCGAATATTAAAGAGTTGATATATGCCAGTATCTTCATTACATGATTTTATGTAGGAATAACATTGGAGTTTCACCACCCTAGTGATATGAAAAACACTAGTGGAAAAATATTTCACGACTACTGCATATCACCGCGAATATCGCGTTTTTCACCGAGTTTTACGACGCCACTTCACGTAAAACGAGTTGTGAAACTCCA